TAATAATAATAATAATAATAATAATAATAATAATTTTTAACCAGCTGTCAGATTCCCAACTCCCTCCATTTCTACAAACATATAATTAAACTGACAACAGAACAGTTTAATGCCATACATACAGCTTCTAATGCTTGTTCTTTCATGTTCACTGTGTCCAGCTCCTGCTGTAAAGCACATAATTCCTAGGAGAAAAATAAAATGCAAATATAGGTTTAATAACAAGCTACAAGAGGTCTGGGGAAGAAAAAGTGAAACAAAAACAACAGAAGAGAATTATTTGGAAGTTGGGTGCTTTACAGATAGCTCACATCCACGACTATGCTGTTCTACACAAATGCAGATAAAAAGTGAAATTTGGCCAGTAGGCATTTCAGTTACTGTGCAACAAACAAACCTTCCAACTTATGAAGATCTTACCCACCCAGTGAGAAGGAATATCCTGCCTCAAGAATGAAAAATGTACTTCTTTAGACTACAACATAATCCCTCACTGGTCATGCTGGCTGTGAGATTCTGGAAATTATAGTCTAAAAAAGTAACTTGTCCAAGCTCTGAGACTGTTTTTCATTGGAGACTCCTCCTCTTGAAGAAAACAGATACCAAGCACTGGGAAAAATAAGATTTCTGGTGTGGTGCCTATATGTTGGGAAACTTTGGTCCAACATGCCAGTTAACTGTGAGTTCACCCTGCATCTCGGGCACTTTCTCAGCCTAATGTAATATTACAAGAGTGTTACTGTTTCAAACATCTAGATGAAGTGTCTGTAAATATACAAATCTGAGAAGTAAATATGAGAGTTATGAGTACAAGAATTATCAGTGATCTCTCTGAAAGGCTCTCGCATATAGGGACTGCTCTGAGTATAAAATATTTCTCAATGTGCAAAAGGGACTCCTAATTTTCCCTTTCTCACCTGCATCTCCTTCTATGTCACTTGAGCTGTTTTGGGGAGGTCAAAACAGGCTTGGCAGTTGACACCTATGGTTTCCAGGGGATAGAGTGTATTGTGCACTAACATCTAAATTCAACACGTGAAACTAAAATCTAGACAAGGAGCCCTTGGTATTCTTTATTTTCCAGTTTTAGTGTTAAGAGTGTTGGATTCTATCTACTGAAAACAATGCTTGGGTGTATCAAGCTGTAATTCAGACTACCAGCACAAAAAGTTACCTGCAAAAGCTTTTCATTTGCCTCTTTTGTCTCCATGTATTTAGCCTGATCTTCTTCAGACATATTTTTAATTATATTTTCTGCTGCCTGCTTTTCCTGCTGGATCTCCTCTTCCACAACCTGAATTTGCTTTTCTTTACTGCATCACAAGAAGAAAGTTTTATAAAACTGATTCAGTATTTAAAATTTTGAAAATCAAGTCTCTTGTTTTACTTTGGCAGCCTATTGGCCTATGCAAAATTAAAGAAAACGAAGTGAAAAATAAAGCAACATAATTGAAATGACATAAAACAAAGTACATATAACAAAATAAAATAAAATAAAAGATGGAATTAAAACTTGTTTTAAAATAGAGAATTTTAGACTAAACCCAGAGACTCCAACAAAATGCCTACTTTCCAGAGCTTGGGTGCTTCACAGACAATTCACACAAAAGCTGGCCAGACAACTCTTATGTGTACAGACAGATTTCCTGTAGCATGTTCTGAGAGGCACATAGAGAGACCCACAAAAACTACTGCTGCCACCCATCTTTTCACTCACATCAGCAACCTCAGGGTTGTTAGATGAGAAAAACAAGGAAGTCAGCTCATAATTACTGGAGGGAAAAGGAGATCTACCTTTCCATGAGGAAAAAAAAATCATTGATGAGAGATTTTTAGTCCATGGTCTGGTTCAAAATAAAGAGGTGGGGAAGCAAGTTTAGATTCAATTGAACTTGAATCTGAATAAAATCCTTGTTTTTCTGCCACAAAAACAAACAAACAAAACAAACAAACAACAACCAATGTTTAAAAGTTTTGTTGAACCCAAGTCAGAAATGAAATCTCATCACTACTACAGAATACAGACTCAGGAAAAAAACACAATATTTTCTACATCCTTTCTTCTCAAGAGAATGAATAATGTGCTGTCCAGTTAATTCTGATTTATAGCAACCCTAGTAAGGTTTCTGAGGTAAGTGAGATATGTAAGGATTGTTTATTTTCCATGGCTGAGTGGGGATTTGAACCCTGCATCTATCAGTGGTCCCAGTGGAACGTATTTGCAAAGAAGACCTTCATTCATATGCTCAATTAATGTGTGGGCCCCACACGTTTATGCATTTTAACATAAGCCTATGAAGATATAACTTGTATGTACATTGCAATATACACAGCCTTCCCATTCAATTAATACTTGACTTTTACAAGATAACAGATTGCAAAGAGATGACTTGTAAGGGGGGGGGAACAGCTGTGATCCCAACCTTCCCTCCCCAAAATGTTCATCTGTTATATATGAACAAGAACAGCACATGGACACATTAATATGTGGAAGGTGGTTTATACATTTCTTTTCTACAAACTTTTGTACTCTGTCTTTTTAGAAGGCCGGGAAGCAGCAAGCAGCTTCTATAGTAGCATGTGAGAGAAACAGCCTTATAGAGGAAGAACAAGAGCATTTTCTCATACAGTTTCAAACCCTTGTGTGGTAGCATGCTAGTTTCTATGGCTGTTAGTTGTTTTTAACTTTCGGTCTGACCTTTGATCTGAAGTCAAGCACATACATTCTTCCTTATTAAAAAATACCTAGCGTTTGTATCTAGGCTACACTTGTGTGATGACGCTCGTATTTTTACTGAAATGGATAACAGCCCCTTACAACAAGTTAAACCTTAGCAGCTTATATTCATAACAATCTTCGTTTACTAGAAATTCTTACAGTGTTTGCCTTGCTCTCTTGCTACCCCTTCATAAAATGAACACGATACTTCCTGGTTGGCTCTGAAGATACTAAATCATGGATGGACATAAGGAAGTACCCAACTTAGTCAATCTTTTGCTAAAGACATCATGCACTTTCGTGTTTTAAACTACCTGCCTGCTAATTGGGTACAAAGGTTGAAGTCAGGCAAAGTAACATTGCACCTTTCATACTGTCATTTTCATCAGAAGAACACGCAAACATGGATTTAATGTCTCAACGAAAAACTAAGGTAAGATATTTTTAACTGCTGACGTAACCATCAATGTGTGTGATTAAAATTCTTGTTTCAGAAAGCAACTGTAACAATGATTGATTAAACATAATCTATGTTTTAAAATTTTGACAAATTTGGAGGAAATGTTTTAGTTATCCCAGGAGAAGATATATTTTGTTCTCTGAAAAGCATTCTATTTCCAATGTTTTCCTGTAACCTGAATGCTTGCTGTTCTTAAACAATGTAGTGTTTAGAATAGAACAGTTCAGTCATAAATCTTCAACTTCAGAGAGTATTTTTATTACATAATTTCAAACATATAGGGACCAGCAGCATATTGGGAGAATTTCCCACAATAAAAATTCTACTGCAACTTTAATTTTATTTTGTTGCACCAATATTTTCAATCTATAGCATTAATTACATTTTTACCTCTCCCCTTAAGAAATCTATGAAACATTGCCAATCAAGAAAAGTCAGCATTGTCATGAGGTATAGAAACACAAGAGATGTGTTGGACGGGACTAAAATCAATCTAGTCTAGCATTTTTCACATTAAAAAGTTGAGGGAAAGTAATGTGATCCTTACATAATACAGTGCAGGAGTAATAGACCACTAAAAACCATACAATCCACAAAAGGTAGCAGATTTTATCTTTTTAAAGTGCTCTAATAAAAGTATCACCTACTCCTGGATTGTATTGTTCACATAGTTATGAATCAGTTGTCTACAAGATGTCCATATGCAGGGCAGGATATGACTACAACACTGCTTGCATCTTGTGCGGCTCTGATCAGCTGCACCATTTCAGAAATTGGCTGAGAGCAGGAAACATGAGACATGAGTATCAGTAAGATATTTAAAAAAACCAGCTTGTGGATTCTTAAAGATTCAAAAAGCAAGGTACTAGAAGAAAATCAGTTATATTTGTAGTTCCATTTTAGATCTTATAAAAGCTATAGCAGCCCTAATAATAGAACAAGACCCTTTTAAGAAGCAATGGATTTGTGCAGCTAGCATACATTATTTGATATCTAGTACAGGTAATTCACTATTGCATTGAATGAGGGAGATGGACAGATAAAGGTGTTTCTGAAGAATAATCATATCTGGTTCAAAACACAGAGGGAGGTGTATTTTCCTCTGCCTCTCCCTAGCGCTTGTGATACTAATCTACTATACGTAATACGCTAAAATGAATGTACATAGCAGGACTTTTCCATTTTCCTTTCTTAAACAACAGCTCCCATGCTCTCCAATTGAAGATGCTTCTGGACCTGAGAAGGGGGATGTAGCAACTGCTATGCTATTGAGGAAGAGAGATCAGCTTTCTGCCTCTGATTTTATTTAAAAGAGAGTTACAGATTATATTAGGAATATAGTTTGTGACTCTCTTTTAAACACCACAGAGCTGAGTTCTGCATCTGGTACAACAATGTCAATTATGAACTTGTAAAACTTGTCTTCCTGTTGAAATTATAATCTTAATATTACATTTAATTTCTCAAAACTTAAATATCTTCTCATGTTGGATTTTGGCTTGGTCTTCAAAGTGTGAGGCAAGGCTGCTTGGGACATTAAACAGTAAGATGGACAAACTGTTCATGTAGGAAACTTGGTACCTCTGCTTTCATCTACGCTGCTTGGGACATTAAACGGTAAGATGGACAAATAACACTGTTCATCTAGGAAACTTGGTACCTCTGCTTTCATCTACCATTTTTATGAGCAGGGCAAAGTTTTGCTAGGTAAGACAATAGCAAAAAAAAAACACCAAAAAAAACTATGGATGTTTTGGCCTGTTAAAGGGAGATTCCCCCTGCCCCAACAGACTACCTTATAGAAAGGAGTTATTTAGGAAGAACAACATTCTGCCAATGCAATTGATTTTTACCCATTTCTACATATGCTATATTGGAGGACGTTGTCCTATGTGACAGCTAAATAGGCATCAAACATAATTAATAATTGTCAATCACTCATTGCATTATTTGGTACTGTTTTCGTCGGGGTCACCTTGATAATCTGTGGTATTGAAATTTTTGAAATATCATTACAACAAAATCCCAAAGCCTACCATTCTGCCTCAAAAATAAACACATCTTGTGATGTTTACATCACACTGTAAATCCCCCACTAAAACGTGTTCTATTCCTACAATGCTGCCTTCTTTTGTATTGATTTTTAAAGTATTTCTCATTTGGAATGACGAGGCTCTTGCAGATGGAGCATTTCTTTCACCTCTCATTTTCTATCGCATTATTTGAAGCAGAGTTTACTGGGATTTCCACCCAAACTTGTTAAAAATTCATATCTCCACTTGTTAAGAAAGCCAAGTATCTTTAAGAAGCATTTAAAATTATTTAACAATTATTCTAAGAAATCCACTTCTCTGTTGAAGCTCATTTGTGTGTTTGTTCTGAGTGCTACTTGAAAGCTTCCAACCAAGAAGTTCCCACTTTAGACATCACATGGGAAGTACCACAGCTCTGTGTTCTACATTTGGTACAAATCAGTACTAAAAATAAACCATTTTGTAGGAAGTACAAAAAGGAGCATGAATCAAAATTAGAAAAAAATTAAGAAAAAATACTAAAAAATAAGTGAGATTAATGACTAACTTTTGACTTTATTTATTATGAACGACAATATCAATTTGAACGATAACTTATACCTACTATTCTAAATTGACAGATTTTGAACATGAATCATGGCTGGCTCCGGGTACTGGTTGCAACTCTTGTAGCACACCCAATCTTTGCGAAATGTGACAGTACTGAAACTGTAAGTTTTATCAGGAAAACTCAGCTAATACTCTTTGATTTTTCTAGAAATTGTTAACAACTCAGTCCTGATGATGGCCTATATTCAGAGCAACAGAAGGAGACTTCTAAAGACCCAACAGGAATTTTACTTCTTTTCCCCTATGATGTGCTCCAAATCAACTTGAGGGGATTCTCCAAATCCTCAGCTACAGTATAGATTTGCAGAGAACTGAGGCTGGGGAGGAAACAGTGACCTGAATCCAACTGGTAGTCTCAGCTAGAATAAATCTATTGATTCAATAGGAGTTACATAACTGTTGATTCACTGTAATGCAACTGATTCAATGGGTCAACTTTATCTGGAACTAATAATTTGATTAATGCCAATTTTTCTAGTTGTGTTCATTCTGTTGGCAAACAGACAATATTGGATATAACCTCAAGTCTTTTGAGAAGTTTCATTGTGTTTAATGGTACAATTAAAATTTGCACAAGATGACAGGTTATTAAGGTTGCAGCCTACATTTAAAAATCTCCATATAAAGCTTGTTCAGAGGATAACCTGTATCCTGAAATAACATTACCACACTTTTCCTTCATTCATCTATAAGACAAAAATATGACTTATCACCACATGCTGTACATGAGCAAATCTCATATTGTGTATCTACTGTCACCCACAAGAAAGCTTTTCTTTCATGGACCTCCCTCCTTAGCATCACAAAGGAAACTTTTCTTGGTGTTGGTCTAAAATGATATGGGACACTGGGTATCATTGTATGCATGTATGCGACGCAGAGAGTTAGGGAAAGATGGCTTTTGAGAACCATCCAAGCATTGAGATTTCAATGGAGGGGGAATCATCAGGATTATTTTCATACAGCCTGAGTTACCTCTTCAGGGCAAACCTCTGATTGTAATAAAGTTTCTAATAGGAAGCTCATAACATTTAATTATTACTTTGTTTCCCAAAACAATAGTTTCTGGTTTTATTTTTGTTTTGTTGTTCTTTATTGTTGCAATATGATTTTATTCTGTATGTTTGAAATGTGGAACAGAAAAAAATTACAATGAACTCCAGCAACAGTATTTTAACAATAATTTATATAGTACTATAGAATTATAGAAGTCTGATGTTTAGCACATTCTCTGTTTCACCTTGATTAACTTCCCCACAGGATAATTCTAATCTGTATTATTATTACAGTATCTCTATCTTCATTTAACAGGTCATGCTTGAGGAATCAGAAGAAAGCTATTTTTCTATCCCTTCCATCGTGACCGAAAGTGTTTCTGTACTACATCTTAGTTACAAAAACATCACTTTAAATGAGACTGATAGAATAATGCTTCACAAGTATAGAAATGTTACAGAACTATATTTAAACAACAATGTTATTGCTGTTCTGCATAATTATAGCTTTAACTGTCTTTCAAAGCTAGCAGTTCTAGATGTCAGCAATAATTCTATCACAATCGTTGAACAAGCAGCATTTGTTGGCACAAATAAGCTAGCAATGCTATATCTACAAAATAATAAAATTTCACAATTAGATTCTAATACCTTTGTATTACTGGAAAACCTAAAGGTCTTGAACCTACAAAATAACAACTTTCTATACTTAGATATTAAATTGCCATTTAATTCAATCAGTATCACACTGAGTGAAAATCCGTGGAATTGTTCATGTGGTCTCCTTCGTTTGCAAAGTTGGTTGAATAATCCTAACATAACAATAGGTGAGTGGCACAAAATGCCTTATGCCTTTATGTGTTTATCTACATGAATAGTATAGTTCCAGTAAAACTGCATTTATATAAATCTACTTATGAATAAGGCCTACTGAGTTCAGTAGGGCTCAATTACAGGTACATGAGAATAAGATTGCAGTCTAGGATTTGCACTGATGGATGAATAGCTCAGTAACACATGCCTGCTAGTTGTTGGTAACAATCAATCAATGTGCATACAATGTCTGCCAAATAATATTTTCATAGAAATATGAATAGAATGTGCAATCTTCATTAGGATTGCTTTGTTAAAAAGCATACTATTTTCTAGCCGAAGTGGACAATCCTCTAGAGATTTTTTTTAATTATTTACTGAACAATGGCAGTTGTCCATGTATGGCATTCTGGTCCACTGAAAGGCAGAGCAAGGAATAGGAATGCAGCTTGTGCTGGATGGGATTACACTCCCTCTGAAAATGCAGGTGTGCACCTTATTTAGGTGTGCTCCTCAATTTGTCTCTGAGTCTGGATGCCCAGGTTTTGGCCAGGAGTGCATTGCACTCCTAGCCAAAAATCTACTGCACCAGCTGTGCTCATTTCTGCAGAGGTCTGATTTGGACACAGTGCCACATGCCTTAGTTGCATCCCGGAAGTGTTTGGAAACTTTAGTGGGTCAAAAATGCTGCAGCCAGACTGTTAACTGGGGTTGGTTACAGGGATAACATAACACCACCCCTGCTCCCATTACAGCAACTCCACTGGCTGCCACTTTGATTTTGGGCAAAATCAAGGTTCTGGTTTTAACCTAGGTAAAGGTAAAGGTTTCCCTTGTCATTTAGCTCAGTTGTGTCTGACTCTAGGGAGTGGTGCTCATCCCCATTTCCAAGCCATAGAGCCAATGTTTGCCCATAGACAGTTTCATGGTCATGTGGCCAGCATGACTACACACGGAATGCTGTTACCTTCCCACCAGGTGGTACCTATTTATCTACTCTAATTGCATGCTTTCAGACTGCTAGATTGGCAGGGGCTGGGACAAGCAACGGGAGCTCACTCCATTACGTGAATTTGATCTTACAACTGCTGGCCTTCTAACCTTACAGCACACAGGCTTCTGTGGTTTAACCCGCAGCACCATCACGTCCCTGGTTTTAACCTATAAAGTCCTAAATAGCTTGGGTCCAAGCTATCATAAGGATCACATCTCACTTTATGAGCCTTCCTTGATGTTAAGATCATGAGGAGAAGTCCTTCTCTTGGTCCCACCACCTTCACAAGTGTCTTTGGTGGGGACATGGGAGAGAGTCTACTCTGTTGCTGCTCCCAGAGTCTGGAATTCTCTCCCACAGGAGGTCAGGCTACCCTCATCTTTGCAGTCCTTCCAGAAGCAGGCAAAGACCTTTCTCTACAGGAGAGATGTCCCTCAGTGACTGGCTGATTGAGTGGAACTTTTAAATGGATTGTTGTGCCTTACTACTTTGAATTTTTTTTTCATTTTTTTAATTACTGTTTTTAGAGAGGTATTTGTTTGATCCTTTTAAATATTTTATACTTACTGGATTTTTTAGCATTAAATATTGTCTTTTAATGATGTAAGTTGACTTAGGCCCTCTTTAATGAGAAAGGTGGTGTAAAAATATTTTAAATAAATAAATTAAATAAACACATACACACATAAACACAGGATTATTTTCTCTGAGAAAACTATGACATTCAGTGCTAATCATTCTTGAACCACTTAAAAAGAACCACTTAAAAACAAGTCTAATTTATTGGCTTTCTTTGAATATGGTTCTCAAAATGAAGACTCAAAATGCTTGTTCTTGTGGACTTCTGAATTATGTCATTACAGTGGTGCCTCGCTTTACAATTGCCCCACATTATGACGAATCCGCTTAACGACGATCTTTTTGCAATCGCAATTGCGGTCGCAAAAGGATGGTCTGAATGGGGGAATTTCGCTTTGCTATGATCAGTTCCCTGCTTCGGGAACCGCTTCTTCACAAAACGACATTTTTCGAACAGCTGATTGGTGGTTTCAAAATGGCCACCGGGTGATTAAAATAGCTCCCCGCTGTGTTTAGGGACGGGTTCCTCACTATATAGGCAGTGAAAATGGCCGCCGTATGGAGGATCGTTGCTGGACGGTGGGTTTTTACCCCATTGGAATGCACTGAACGGGTTTCAATGCGATTCAAATGGGTTTTTATTTTCGCTTTATGATGTTTTCGCTTAATGGCGATTTTCCTGGAACGGATTATCGTCGTTAAGCGAGGCACCACTGTATAGCCAAACTTAACAGATGTCTATGCCACTAATCCCTCTTTTAATCACCAAGAATTTTTTTTCATATAAAACCATTTATGTATACTGAATTATGAAGGTAACAGTTATATTTCTGCCCTTTATAGATACATTGGCTGAAATCCTGTTGCTTAGCATAATACTGGCCTAAACTAGTTGTCACTTAATACACTAAGTAAAAGGAGTCATTGTGTCACACAGTCTCATTCAAAATTTACAACAATCTTCTGCATTCAGATACAGCTGAAGTTAACTGTGCATAATAGTACTGGCCAAAAATGTTAATACCCTAATATTTATTTTTAAATTGTTTAATCTTTACAGAATATGAGAACAGTACAGTATGCGATTCTCCTAATAGTCTGAAGACATGTCCTATCAAAACCGCATTTCTAAAGAATTGTGAAAAGAGAGACGTGACTGAAACAACCACTGCACCGACTACACTTTTTCCTAACAATGATACTCTAATTTCTGCAACTGGTGATAGAGATGGACAATTGTACTCAGCCAAAGGTAAGCGACCATCAATGCTCATATACTGGCCAAACGAGCCACATTTTTCATGAACAAGAGAACAGATCCAGAAAAAATGTTAAATATTATATATGTAATTAATGCAGGCTAAAAAAAAGGAGTATCTTCAAGAGAAGTGAGAATATTTTCATTTTTTCTCATTAAAGTAGCTAAACCAATTACTATAAAATGAGAAAATATGTGTTTTCTAGATTTTTTTGAAAGAGTAATCACACAGTTGTAGGTGTTCTCACCCAGATTTACTCAGAAGTAAGCCTTTGGCTTAAGGACTACATTATCTTTCATATTTTTACACAAATTAGAACCTTTATGAGATAGTTTTACAGAAATAATATATATATACTGTATGTATTTATATCTATATGTACATCTGCACACGTTTGTGTGTGCATAAAACAGTCATTTTTGTACTGCTTATAAAACATCACATAATGAAATAATTTGTGTATGCTGCATAGAAACATGGAATAGACCCTTCTGGAGTAGTTCTTCACTGAAAATGCTAAACTGCAAGGCACTGAATAGATCTGCATATATACTAACAAACATGAGGTTAACCCAAAGTAAACTTGAGTTCTGGGTAGGTCAGAAATTCAGTGCAACGGATGGGGTCCAATTTCTGATTCTTCTGTAATGCTAAGTGACCTTAATTAGCAAGAAAGCATAATTTCAAAAACTTCATCAAGAGTGACTCATGTGGATTGGTATCCGTAGCTGGGATAGAGTTGACTTCAGAAAAATGTTTGCGATCCGAGAGACAATTTGCACTTTGCGCATTTAACTATTATTCTCTACCAGCTGAATCTGTATAAATTATTAATCCCAGACTTGTGGCACTTTAAAGTCTAAAGCTTGACTCCAATAAGCATAGTTCTCCAATGTGTTGAATGAAACAGCAGATGCATTGAATGAAAGATACTTGCATAATATGAACAACATTTAGCAATAGCCAATTGACTGAATTGACAAGATCCTCCTATGTTCTCCACATACATACAGAAAATCATATAGTGTTTTCCCCCCTTCTGGTTAGCCCCCTCCTTCCACTGCATGATCAGTTGAACAACTGGTTGCATATTTACATGAGAATTAGCATATGATGCAATGTCAGTGAAGGATGGAATGCTTACACAGCTATCCTTACATGACTGTGTAAGTGAATAAGATTCTAGTTAATGGCTCTGCTTGGGGGGGGGGAGGGACACAATTTGAATTTCATCCTGCCAAATTACATTCAGCATAAGTTTTTGTGGACTACTACACATTTTTGAAAATGAGCTGCAGTCAAGAAAAGTTTATGCCACATAAATCATGTCAGTCTTTTAAGGTGCCACAAGGTTCGTAGTACTTGTTTCCTATAACAGAGAAATATGTCTACAACAGCCTTGAAATATGCCCACAATAGAATGCTTAAGGACTCTGTTAAACACACCAGCTCTTGAAATATGTTCAGTCTTATACAGTATTAATGTCTTATAACATTACAGATTCAATCTGAGTTCTGCTTTTAAAACAGCCTAAGGAACTGTATTTGCTATGGGGGAGAAGGAAAAAAGAGAAGAAATCTTTATGTAAACTGAACCATTTGACACTTATGTATTCTCTCTGAAATCTGAGATTTTTTTAGAGATGTTGGTGAAGAAAAACGAGATATGAACTTATATTGAAAAAAAACACCCCACAATGATATTTTATTTACTTTAACACACAGGTTTTCATCCACCGGGCAAAAGTTGGACCTTTCTAATTGGCGTCCTAGTAGTTATTGTGGGCACTACAACGTTGATAATTATTGCTATCAAATTTCCAGTATGGTACCGTTATTTGATTAGCTATAATCACAGCCGTCTGGAAGAAGAGGAACCTGAGATGTTTGAGGAAACCTTCACATCTCATATATATACACACCCACAGACACCAGGAACCAATAAAGATGACTCTGTGGTAGTTTTTGAACAATTTCACACATTTGTTCCGGAAGAAGATGGATTTATTGAAGATCAATATATTGAATCATAATAATTTGTTATAAAGACACTAAACCTCATGGCCTAGCCTGATTTATTAGTCCAGAACTGTAGTGTTTACAAGTCAATATAAGCATTAGGACTAAAACAAATGTGTTGTTAAATATGTATGATTTCATATTATTATTAAGAAAAACTATTACTCAGTGGTATGGTGGCAGAGGGTCTAACTTGCATGTGTAAATAAATCAATTACTGTATCTCCTCACAGTAAATAACCAAGTTAAATGTGGTTTTATATATTTAAAAAAAGCAAAGGAAGTGCTTAGTGTCTTTAAGTAACAACAAAAATACTTTTAATAACAAGTTTAACAACAAAACATTTAAAAGCTCTACTTTAGGAGTTTAAAAAGCTGAAAATAAATAACAGTTGTGACTATACTACAAAATATTATTGGTCTGTGTTTTAAAAATCAGCTGTTGTTTTTAAAAATGGCCAGGGCTTTTTTTTTGCAATTAAAATTGTGCTAGTAGTCTGCAGGGATATGATTTACAAGTATCTCACATAGGGGCTGTTCTGGGAGACACTACACAAACAACCAGTCCCCAAGTGACTGAACACCAGCTGTTGGCATGCTCCCACTCACAGACTGTCAGCAGTAAAAGAGAAGGAAAAGGAGGAAGAGGATGGTCCAATGAGGCTTTGTGTCTTTCACCTGTCTTCATAGATCACTTCCCCATGCACAGCCACCTGTTCTAACTGCCATCCTATCTCTGAAGCTATGGAGATCTTGGCTCAGGGATGCCCGTAATACGCATCCTCCACCAGCAAAGGGGTGAATGCTGGGGTGGGTGTTCCTGCTACAGTGTTTGAAGGTCTAGTGGAAAGGCTTCTTGGTTCTGCCACTGCACTCCTCCTCATGCCTTTTATGCTTAGCATCCCAACATCCAATCCGAAACCTTGTCTTGGCAAGCATTATATAGATAGCAATGTACTGTACTTGCATAATATTTTCAACGTTTTCTTTCTGAGCTGATATAGCACTGAACTGATCTAACAACTTATCAATCTGCTGAAATAGAGTAGCTTTGTCAATTTCATCTGGTTCTTAGTAAGGCTTCAGCAAGACTTACAGGGCAAGAAGGCAGGGGGAGAGGTAGAGACTGATAAGGTGCAAAAAGTGTTTATCAATTTAATCTGGGAACGAGGGTTTACAGTACAGCAGTGATCCAGCACAGTGTATAACATGACAAACATTTATAAAAATAATAGACAAACTGTGCAGAGGAGAGATGAGAAGGCTCCTATGAAGGGGATTATCCCACCAGAGATGTCAGTCAAATTTCCCTATAGGAAACTTCTCTGACTCCCACTCTGAACTGAGATATTTGATCATAAATGCCAGAAGAGGCCTAGAAAAAAAGCTATGCCAGCTGAATTGTCATGAAATAAGCAACCCTCTGCCAGCTGTTCAAAAAGAAACAAGAGACCATAGAAAGGAGTGGGCTTCCATGTGATTAGTTTGGCAGAAAAAAAACCCATTCATTTTAAACATGCCAAATCCAATTCAAATTATGAGCTATAATGCATTGTAGCTGCACCCAAAGATAAAATATAATCATTTATTGCTGTGAACTTGCTGCTCCATGCAAGCTAGAATACAAGATAAAGCATATCATACTAGTTTGTACTTTGTTGTGACTACCTGAAAAAGAAAAATCAAAGAGTCTGTATCTCTTCAATAGCAGGATGAGCTCAGAAGAAAGAAAACTGCTCTTTTCTTTTATTATGGCAGGAGTGGGCTACTTTAGTGGATCATGAAAATTTTTATGCTGTCAAGATCCTGCAGCTGCCAGGATCCCCTGAAGTTGACTACTGCTGCTTCAGTAACACAAAAGGGTAGTTGTGCTTTCTTCTGAATTCATCTGCACAACTGCACACATACAGGCTTATCTTAGCTACTGTCCACTATCCAAAATGTCAAAAACAAGCAAACAAAAGCCAAAATGAGAAACAGGCAATTTCCATTTTGAAAACTTGGTATTTGAGGGATGTTTATACACTGGAGGGAGGGTGGGAGGACCATCAGTTTTGTAGTTCACCTTTTGTTTGCTGGAAGTGGGGAAGTCTAATGCATTTGGGGAAACTTTTAAAAAACCTTGTCTGGTCATGTTTTGATCACTGATGTATAACAAGCATGGAAGAACATGTTATAACCATCTTTATGAATTCATCGTATACTTTGGATTCAGACAAAGTCATGAAGCAAATGTTAAGATATTTGCCATGATTTAATATGCTAATGCTATGACTTATTCACATTTGGCTCATAACTGACAAAATAACATACATTGGTATGATCATGTCTAATTTATCAAGATTTTATCATATGGACATTTATTTGGAAAATAAATTCCATAGAAAGTAATGCAGTCTGTAAGAAAGTCTGTTTGGAATTAAGATAGAATACTACAAATCCTAAAAAGGCTGGTGGATATCAATATAAATTTTGTCTATGATTACCCTTGTCTATGATAACTCTTGTCTCTATTTTGACATATACACATTCCTTCTTGGTATTCGCTGCTCTATATTTAGAGACTTGGTTTCTTTTGAGTGGTTCCTTATTAGATCTGATTGTTACTGTTTTTTATATGCTTATAGCATGTTGTTATGATTTGTAAGGAACCCAGAATAGTGGTCTGACTACTAAATGGTCGGGATAAACATTTAAATAAATAAAATGGTTATTTATAATATTTGTGGCACCAGTTGTTGCAACAACACTAATATTAGATGCAGTAAACATCTACAGTGTGAAAGAGGGACTCATGGTTTCAAGTGCTTGAAGATATAGCACTGAACCAGGACCAGAAACCATTAATTAGCACTGACATCATAGAGAACACTATCGAGTTCACTAGTTTCTAAGTTTTCAAATGTTTAATTCATATACTTACCTTTGCCTTTCTGTAAAAATCAGGTCTGTGCCTTGAGCTTCACGATCATTTTGAGCTTTCAGCTATTAAAAGGACAAAGTCATCATTAGCATCACTATTAGGACAGATACAACACTTCTATAACTAAGGTCCCATGTTTGCTATTCTTGTATCTATTTCTAATTCATTTGTTACTCTAACTAACAATGAAAGATCATACTATAAATGATAAGTTGAATATGAATAACAAGGGCAAGCTCAAATATGCCCTCACAACCCCACATGCATAGCAGCATAATTGTTCATGTAGCTTGAGCTTCTTGCAGGAACAATAAAGCTATTATGCATGTGAGCTGGTGAGGGCATATTTGAAATTGCCCTTTAGTGTTACCCGTTAATCATATTAATTTCAAAAGGAAATAAGGACCCAACTGATCCTGGACCCTACAGACCTACAGTGATGCCCTGCATGATGATGATAATCCGTCCCAAGAAAATAGCTGTTTAGCGAAATCATCGTGATGCGAAAACCCTTTCCCCATTGGAATGCATTGAAACCCGGGTTTAATGCGTTCCAATGGGGCAAATACCTCGTCGTCCAGCGAAGATCGCCCATAGGGAAGCCATTTTGCGAGTGCCGATCAGCTGAAAAAATGGCTGCCCTGCGAAGCATGGGTCTGGAAAAGACAGGGCAGCCAGAAAAATTGTCGTCTTGCAAACAAAAGGTTCACGAAGCACGGACCAAATCATCGTTAAGTGAAAATCGCCCTTTGGAATGACTGTTTTGCGAATTGCTATAGCGATAGCAAAAAGTCATCGTCATGCGGATTTGTCATTTAGTGGGGTCGTTGTTTAGTGAGGTACCACTGTACTTTATTAATAATTCAAGGTGCTAAGATACAACAATATTAATGAAGAGGAGTTTTACAATAGGAAGACAAATGGTAGATTTGATGAGAAGAGTATTAAATGTAATAAATATTAGAAAAAACAAGAAATGAAGGTGAGATATCTGGAAGTTGAGATGGGATTTTCACTCCCCCCCCCGTCCATTGTCCATCTAATTAGCCAATTCAGACCAGGAGGGAGTTAAATCAACATGGAGGATATATCAGAGGTCTCCTACAACTCTCCTCAGACTGAAGAAGCTACTTGGATGAGTAGTGAAACATTTCAGCCTAATAAGAAAGAAATCCAGTTGCCATGACTCAACTTCCAGATAGCCTCACCTGGACGACTGAGAATCTTCATAAATAAGGTGAAAATAATTTCATTAGATATTCTTAAAGCATTTTATTGTGTGGACTAGCCAACACTACAAATGATAATAAAAACAGCAGGTTTTATGGAGGAATTTAAGGGTTTAATAAATCAATTATATTCAGAGAATATTGCAATTGTGCTAATAACTGATTGTATAACAGAACAGATATCCCTAGGCTGTGGTACTAGACAAAGATGTCCCTTTCCCCCAATATCGTTTACTTTAGTTACAGAATTGTTAGCAAATGTTCTCAAAGATACACTAATGTGGGGATAGAGGCTTTAAGGATAGAGTTAATTTGATGATACTTTATAACAATAGAAAATCCATTAATCGCTATGGATTGGGTAAACTTCAGTTTGAAAGAATTTGAAGAGATAACAGGAGTACAGATAAATTGGCATAAATAAGAGATGACATTATTTAATTATGATGAAAAGGAGATAATTAGGACAAAATTGGATACAGTGGTGCCTCGCTTATCAAGCGCACCGTTTAACGACAAATCCACATAGCGATGAATCCGCATAGCGATGTTGCTTTTGCGATCTCAAAAGCGATCGCATTGTGATGTTTACATAGGCAAAAACTCGCATTGCGATGATGGGTAAGCGTTTCGCTTACCGATCTTCGCATTGCGATGTTTTTTAAACAGCTGATCGGCGGTTCCAAAAGGGCCGCCGGGTGCCCAAAATGGCTGCCCCAAGTGTTTTCGCGCCCTGCCCTCGCTTACGGAGGGCGCGAAAATGGCGGCGCTATGGAGGAACTTCACTGAACTGTGAGTTTGGGCCCCATAGGAACGCATTAAACCAAGTTTAAAGCATTCCTATGGGTTTTTTCGATCCGTTTAGCGATGTTTCTGCATAACGACAATTAATCCGGAACAGATTAACGTCGCTATGAGGGGCACCACTGTATTAGTATTCAAAAATTTTATTAAATAGCTAGGTATAAATAAACCAAAGAATTTAGAATGTTTGAAGGAAGAAAATTTTAGTGAAATGAAACAAGGAAATAAAAATAAGAGATGATACAGTATTTAGAAGATTTTACTTTCTTGATTTGGTATAACAGCAGTATGTAAAATGGATATCTTGCTTAAGATTATTTTTTTATTTATGATGTTACCAATAAATATCACTTAGGGAGAGCTGAAAGACTGGGAAAAATTATTAATATATTCTGCAATAGAGATTAAAAATTAAGGATTTTAAGAAGATATGGTATAAATCTCAAAATCAGAGAGGGTTGGGTCTTCCCAATACAAGGGTACATTATATAGCTAATTAAATGAGACATACACTTGATTATATCTCATTTTAATAATTTAATTTGATTAAGTTTGGAATAGCAGAAAATTGGTGAGAAGCCTGAGAATATTTTCTTTATACAAAAGAATAATATTGCAAAAACTAGATAACTAAAATGAAAACCCTTTTTGTTAAAAAAAAAGGTAATTTGGAATAAATATAGAAAAATATTTATTTTTTTCAATTTCTCCATAACACCTAGTGGTAACATTGGAGAAATCTGCAGGAAATATGAAACAAAATTTATAAAATCTATTTATCTATTGCAAAAGAAACAAGTTATTAAGATAAAAGGCTTGTTGGAAAAGATGGGGAATAAGGAACAAATATAGATTATTGGTTATTTTTATTAGTTTCATTTATATGCCACATTTCTCCCAACAAGGGACCTAAGGCGGCTCACAACATGAAAATTCACACTATTAAAAACACAGTAAGTTAAATATTAAAATATAAATTAAACAATATATGTTTCAAAATACAATTAAAAGATTAAAACATGAAAAAGATTAAAATTATCTGCTAAAATGGGGTTCAGGGATTCACTTATAATTGATAAAGGCCTCCCTGAAGACATGGGTCTTTAGCTTTTTTCGAAAGGGTAACAGGGAAGGGGCCATCCTGATCTCCCGAGGGAGAGTGTTCCATAGCCTGGGAGCTGCCACAGAGAAGGCCCTCTCCCACGTCCCCATCAGCTGTGCTTGGGCTGGCAATGGGACCGAGAGGAGGGCCTCCTCTGCTGATCTTAATTGCTGAGAAGGCGCATAAAGGGAGATATGGTCCTTCAGGCCGTCTGGACCCAAGCTGTATAGGGCTTTATAGGTAATAACCAACACTTAGAATTGGCCTCAGTGCAGCTCTTGTAATAGGTGCGTTATATGCTCCCTGTAGCTAGTCCCAGTCAGTACTCTGGCTGCAGAGTTTTGCACCAACTGAAGTTTCTGAACCGTCTTCAAAGGCAGCCCCACATAGAGTGCCTCACAGTAATCCAAACGGGATGTAACTAAGGCATGTGTCACTGTAGCCAGATCTGACATCTCAAGGAATGGGTGCAGCTGGCACACCAGCTTTAGCTGTGCAAATGAACGCCTGGCCACTGCCGAGACCTGGGCATCCAAGCTTAGGGATGAATCCAGGAGTACACCCAAGCTGCAAACCTCAAATCAAATGCAAGTTTATTTGTGTGGCCTTAGCCGTTGCAAGCACATTACAAATAAATTGAAACAGAAGCATTGATCATCTAGAAGCTGTGGACCTGAGTTTTCAGGGGGAGTGTAACCCCATCCAGCACAGATAGTATCCCTATTCCCTCATCTGCCTTCTGACTGACCAGGAACACCTCTATCATGTCTAGATTAAGTTTCAGTTTGTTTGCCCTCATCCAGCCCATTACTGATGCCAAACACTGGTTTAGAGTCAAGACAGCTTCCCTGGAATTAGGTGGAAACGAGAGATAAGAGTTGGGTGTCATCTGCATACTGGTGACACCAAACCCCAAAACTCCAGACAACCTCTCCAGCAGTTTCATGTACAGTGGTGCCTTGCTTGACGATTACCTCGTTAGACGAGGAAATTGCTTGACGATTAGTTTTTGCGATTGCTATTGTGATTGCTAAACGATGGTTCAATGGGGTTTTTCCGTTTCACAACGAGCGGTTCCCTACTTCGGGAACCGATTTTTCACTTAATGATGATCAAGAACAGCTGATTGCCAGGTTTCAAAATGGCCGCCCGCTGTGCAAAATGGCTCCCCACTGTGCTTTAAGACGGATTCCTCGCATTACAGGCACCGGAAAATGGCTGCCCTATGGAGGATCTTCGCTGGACGCTGAGGTATTTTGCCCATTGGGACGCATTGAACTGGTTTTCAATGCATTTCAATGGGCTTTTTCGTTTCACTTGACGAGGATTTCGCTTAACAGCGATTTCAACAGAACGAATTATCCTCGTCAAGCGAGGCATCACTGTAGATGTTAAAAAGCATGGGTGACAAAGCAGAACCCTGAGGAATGCCACAGGTCAATGGCCAGGGCATTGAGCAGTAGTCACCCAGCACCACCTTCTGAGTTCTCCCCTCCAGGAAAGACTGGTTAAGACCATCCTGGTTTAATCTTATTCAGTTACAGTAATGGACTAAAGAACGGGCTTAAGAAGAAATGGCATTACAGAAAGAAAAGGAAGATGAAAATAAGACAATGAAAGGGACACTATTTTCTTCAAAAATATGGAAACATGATTTAGGAGAGGAAATAGGTAGGAAGGTATGGAAGAATATATGGGATAAAAGAATATTAAAATCCATGTCTAAAGGATAAAGGATTTTTTAAAAATAAATTTGCTTGGTATTTAACTGTGACATTAAATCAAACAGATGCTAATTATTCTACGTTATGCTGTAGTCAGTGGATGTCAAGATGTATATACTTATTTTCATATGTGGTAGAATGTGAGAATATATTACAATTTTGGTTGTTGGTTTTTTAAGGAAATAAATTAAATAATTAAGGTACATATAGTTTGCCCTAAAATAGATTGTTTACTAATATTTGATAAGGAGCAATGAAGTTGTATAATGAAAGACTTAATTTCAAACTTATTAATGACAGAAAGGTTAATGGTAACAAGAAACTTGAAAATAAAATATGATTGACTGGTATAAAAAAGTCTGGAATATAGCTATTAATGATAAGTTGACGTGTAACATTAAATTAAAGTAGGGTGTAGTAAATAAGGATATTTGTGGACAATTGATCAATTTTGTATTAATAAAGGGGAAGTGTTGTGTGCCTTTGCAGGAATCAGTGCAGTTCTGGAAGGGAAATGGGGCACCATAATTGGCAGAAAAAAAAATGTTATATCTCCAGAGGGCCCTAATGGAGGAGTATCATACATCATTATGTATCATTGTATTGCTTATCTGGTTTTGTTTTTTAAATTTTTTACTTAGTTATGCTTCTTCTTTATTGCTATAAACTAAAAAAATTAACATTTGGTTCTTGTAGCTCCCAGGGCTTATTTGTTAAATGAAGTAACAGATCTTCACAAATATTTATATATTTATTTCTGAAATGCCTTTAGTAGATTGTTGATACAGCTTAGCGATCATTCCAATTATAATAACATTAATTAGAACAAATATTAAAACATGAATATGGATTCAGACTCAGGAATACCTACATAAGACTGCCTGTAACCACAGGCTTTACTACTTATGAGTAACTTAAAAGCAAAGCAAAGCAAAGTGTGCTGCTTATATACCGCCCCATAGTGCTTCAAGCACTCTCTGGGCGGTTTACAAGTTAATTATGCAGGCTACACATTGTCCCCCCAGTGAGCTGAGTACTCATTTTACCGACCTCGGAAGGATAGAAGGCTGAGTCAACCTTGAGCCGGATTCCTGGGACTGAACCCCAGGTCGTGAGCACAGTTTTGGCTGCAGTATAGCGGTTTAACCTTAAGCCCTTTTGGTTTCACCAAGTCATTTCTGTATATGAGCAAGTTTCAATGCAATCCAGAAAACATGCAACACTATAACATAAGATAGTAGACAGTTAATGGAATGAAAGACCCCAACATTAGAAGAAGGTTTGTCTAGTACCAAGTGTCTTCAAGATGCACATCCAGCAAATGTGAGACCCCAGGACCCAATGAAACCATCTGCACTTGGAGCAGCCAAGCCTGCAAGTATACAGTCTGTTCAATTACACCGCAGTCAAACCAAGAACCTGTTTCTTAGAGGAGGGGCAAAGAAGGGAGCATAGCTCCCCTCCCAACCAGGCCTTTCTGCTGGATGGGGACATGGAATTGTGTGTCTGGCATTAACTTGTGTGACTTCACATCTGGCCCTTTTGTGTCAATATAGTCCAGACTGAGGAACACACACTTTCCTTGATGCATAAAGATGTATTTTCATATCAAATACTTGCTTCAATGGTAAAACACTTCACTTTTGCACCGCCATTTTTACAGATATAAAAATTGAGTGATATGGTTCCTTTCTGATGTGGTCTAATCTAATGCACACAAAAACTGTGTCTTGCATTGGGTAGGAAGAGCCAGCTTTGAAAACAGCATTCTGCAACACCTGATTTTTACACTATAGTTGCATTCCTCTTGAGAAACAATCACATTGCTGAATTCAGTGTCATGCTAGTACAACTTTCTTCCTTGACCCCCCCCCCCCCAATCATCCAAGCGACATGAACACTTGATTTTGGAGGGTTTAGTAGCCTTCTGGAGCTGGGTGCACAGAGCCTGTGGAAGGAGAAAAATTACTTCCCAACCCACTTCCACTCAGCGAAGCAACCCCACTAGATTGTGGCGACACTGTTGACATTCAAACATCTTTCAGTGGTAATTTAACACTACAGATGGAAGAATCAAATGGTAACTACATCAGCCCTGCACGCCAACAACAAACCAACATTTCAAACACATCAAAAATTGTGATAAAATAACAACGTCAATGCTTACCAGGTTATAATCACTCATTACTTCCTCCATATCAGTATTCATATTAAGTTTGTCCACGAGCTAAAACAACAAAGAAACACAAATAACTGTTCATTTTGGAATAACATATGAACACAGACAAAAGAAAAAGAAGGGAAACTACAGATATGCAATATTTACTCTCAGAAGTGCATATGTAATAAATGGATTAGGGAAGCAATAGGAGGTAATCTAAACAAAACATTTCTGCAAGGCAAAGTTAAATCTAGTATTTTAATGCAAAAACACATACAAGTGAAAATAATCTGCAAAAATAGAACATACCATATTGTAGTCTGCTAGCTGTCCTTGAAATTCTTTGATTTCGCTAGCTAAAGACTCTGCTCTAAGATAAAAGGAGGAAAATTACTAAACAGTATCACTTTTATAACAAAATGTGATTAAAGCAGGGTTTAAGTTTTAACATTTCCAAATCAAACATGACAGGTTGTATAAGTCTCCTGATTATAATGCTGACAAATACATTTACAAATTCTGAAAATACACGTCATTTGGCTCACCTTTTTTCATAGGACAGATAAACAGAATTCTCTTGATTGTACATATCAATTTCTTTCTGCAGCTTGTTGATTTCTGTCGTGAGCTCATTTATTTTGCTTCTGTAGGAAAAAGGGTAATCACATTAAAATCCACAGTTTGATTTTATATGATGCAGTAAATTAATTTAAAATTATTTCTAACTATGATGCTATAATGGGAGACAACACACCTTTCTCCAGATATTATTGGCTACATTTCCCATCATTCTTGGTGGCTGGTCATGCTAGACAGCTAACAGGAGCAGGTTGACTGTACTTACTCCAAATGTCTTGTAGTTATCTAACATCCACATTTGGCAACAACCAGGGAAAACCACATTAAATGCAAGGAAATGCATCTTTTAAATGGGTTTCCTAAGTGGCCATTGAATTTTGGTGACGTGTGTGCAGTCTTTGAGACCAACTGGAGGAGACTACACTAAAACTCAACTTACTATTTGATGGTGGCACTGCGAGTTAAACCGCAGAAGCCTCTGTGCTGCAAGGTCAGAAGACCAGCAGTCGTAAGATCAAATCCACGTGACGGAGTGAGCTCCTGTCGCTTGTCCCAGCTCCTGCCAACCTAGCAGTTCGAAGCATGTAAATGCAAGAAGATAAATAGGTACCACCTCGGTGGGAAGGTAATGGTGTGCCGTGTCTAGTCTCGCTGGCCACGGAAAACCTATGGACAAACGCTGGCTCTACGGCTTGGAGACAGGGAGGAGCCCTAGAGTTGGACACAACTGGACTAAATGTCAAGGGGAATCTTTACTTATGAATTTGGTAAGTTATCTAGTTTTTTTACAGTAAGTATCTATAAAAGAAGCAAGCTCTACATAGACTTCTTTCCTCTCAAGTTCACAAAAGAAGTAATACAGTTTCCCCGAAAATAAGACCTAACCCAAAAATAAGCCCCAATAGGATATTTCAGGATGCTTATAATATAAGCACTACCCCCAAAATAAGGCCCAGCTAAGTGGAACCCTGCCCTTCACCAGGGACTTATTGTGCAGCAACCAGAAGATGATGTGACTGTATTTGAATAAATGTAGACTAGAGATGGGGACAAATTAAAAAAATGGCAATTCGTTTTGATCCATTATTTGTCAAGGTTAGCAGATCAACGAATATGAATATACGAGTATTCTTTGATGAACTGACGGATCGATCGGTCTGCACTTTAAATGGCTAACACTGGCTCCCAACCACCTAGAGATGCCAAATTTTCAGAGAAGCTTCCTCGGACACTTTACTACAACTCCTGAATGTTTAGTGAACATTGGCTCATGGACCTCCGAGTTATATAGTCACAAAGAGGACCCCCTCAGGAAAACTCCCTCCAGGTACTTAGAGACTCCACAATCATAACGGAGATTCCTATGCCTTTCTCCAACACGCCTGCCAACTTTGGTGAAGATCTGATATCGGACCTCCAAGTTATTCACCCACAAATTGGGTCTCCCCAAGAGAGTTTATCACATGGTACAGAAGCCCATTCTGCTTACTGGCTGCCAATCAGCTGATCAGAAGCCAATAGGCAGCCACCCCCACATACAGCCAGCCACCCCAACAGCCTACACCCACACCCTCTTCTTTTCCATACCTTAGCCCCTACCTCACTCCCACTGACACCCTCTTACCTTAATTGCTGCTGTCGAGGTCTCAGTCAGGCCTTCGTACCCACGGCATGTAAAAAGGGAGATTGGCTGCCCTTTGCAAAGATGGCGGCTGTGGCTCCATTTAGGATAGGGAATCCAGGCTGCCCTTTGCAAAGATGGCAGCTGTAGCTTCCCTACACTAAATGAAGCTGCAGCTGCCATCTTTGCAAAGGGCAGCCAGTCTCCTTTTTTACATGTGTGGCTCCAAGATCAGAAAACCTCGGTAGCAGTGATTAAGGTAAGAGGGTGTCGCTGGGGGTGGCGTGGGGCCTAAGGTAGGGAAAGCAAGGGGTGGGGGGATAGTCTGTGGTACTGGGTGACTGTGTGGGGTGGTGGCTGCCTTTCTGCCGCCGATCAGCTGATCAGTGACCGGTATGCAGAATGGTGTGTGTTTTGTTTTTTGTTTTTTTAAATATGAAGGATGAATAAAAACAGGTAAATATTTGTGGGGGTCTCTGGAATCCACAAGTACGGATCGATGAATATTTAACAAATCAGCTATATTCAGTCAGAAAAAGCAATCCGTTTTTATATTCGTCCCCATCTCCAATGGAGACTGTTGTACATGAAAAAACTAAAACAAAACATCCCCTGAAAATAAGCCCTAATGCATTTTTGGAGCATAAATTAAAATAAACCCTGTCTTATTTTTGGGGAAATACTGTACAGTATTTACATTAAACTCACATGTAATCAAATTATGGTGTATTGTAACTACAACTAAGAATGATTACAAAATAGTTCAATGAGATTAAGGATTTGAATAAGATTACCTCTGGCTTCTAGAGGCCTTATGCAATCAGAGCAGACAGATACATAGTCATGTTCACCCTATCAAGATCCTGTATCTAGCAGCCTCATGAAGAGGAGAGTGGGTGGAAGTATGAAGATAGAAACACACCAGAAAGCCAGCTGTGCCACTTGTCATTAGTCACACACTCTGGCATTTGATGGAAAGTGAATATGGCAATTTAGTGAAGTTACGGCAATTCAGAATGAGGCTTGGGAAGACATAAGCCCCTGCTCCAGCAGAGAGAGCAGTAGAGAAATATCATTGAGATGGTGTGGGATAAACTGAATATGATATCTACAGTAACTATCCTCTCTGCTTATACTGGGTTTAATAAAAATGGACTAGCTGGACCATTTGAGAAACTACTGCCATTTGAAAGAATAAGGAATCTGCCTCTTCGCAGTAGAATGTGCAAGTGAGGCTGGAATGGAAAGGGGGAAGGGATAATAGACTGCCATAATTCTTCCCCTCCAGGTTCCTCAAGTACAAAACCTGGGGCCACATAAGCTTTGATGGGACTAGGATACAGTTCTTGGAACAATATGGTTCCATGTAAGATAGCAAAACTACACATACCATTGATGTGGCTTTCACATACCTAAGAACTCCCAGGTAATAGGATTTGTCCATAATTTGTCTCTGTGGACCTAACAAACAAAACCAGGTGTAAGCTGGTTAGAAGACACTATAGTAGAAACAGAAACAACTACATTAACAAAGGGTCAACATTAGTCATGCCTAGAGTAAACTCAATAGCCAAAATCCTCTTGCATAAGAATGCCAATGTAACACAACCAGCATAAACACTTGAAGGCGAATTGCCTCAAGTTAAGAAATCTCCATAGACATTACCTGTTGCATACTGAATCACACAGGTTACTCTGCAACACATAATGTCTATGGGGATTTCTTAAATTGAGACAATTCACCTCCAACTGCTATGTTGATTTTATAATGTTGGTGTAACTATGGAAAAGAATTTGGGTCAAAAAAGTGTCAAGTATATCATGAATAACAAGTCTCATTCATTTCAACAGGCCAGCCACCTTCAGGATTCCTATCAATAATTCTATCAGCTCCAGGCTGCTGGTAAGATGGCTCTGTAGTAAACAAGGTGCTTTGCACAGTGGCTACTGTCACCACTCTCCGGCACATCAGGGGATTCAGTTTCCCATGCTAGTCCCCTGGAAGCAGTCAGTTCTGTACTGGCCACAGTTCCTGTCACTGAGGTAGTGCTTATAATAAATAAGCCCCAATCAGGGCTGGGCTTGCAGTCTTTCAGCGAGGGCTGGTAGAAGCAGCTGGCAGGCATTGGCTGTCCTCTCACTCTTTGGCAAACCTCCTCCTTCTCTCTTGCTGGTGCTTACGCCACCACTGCCTCAGCTAAGTGGGGCTGGATGCTGCCACATTGGCTGTCTCAGCTGCCACAGAGTTGGTGGGGATGATGCCTCTCTTGGGGATGGGGTAGGGTAGTAAGTAGCCCTCTTCCCTGGCCTCTGCCCCACCTGCTTCAAAGCAGCTCACAGGCTCCTGCCAATGTTGTTGTCCTTCTCCCAGGCTAACTCTCCAACTGCACAGAGGACAAGGTCTAGCTCTTCTACTGCAGACACCTGGGTCTCCCTTCTGGATGATCCTTCACTCAAAAGATCCCAGCAATTTTCTTGGCCTCCTTTAAGACCAACAGCATGCCCTCTCCTCTCTGATCCATTGTTCCCTATCATCCTACTCCCCAGTGACACCTGGGCTTTCCTTTCTCCTGCCTTCCCGAGCCCAGAATTGTGACTCCACCCATGGTCTTGGGGCGCTACAGGGCAAGGGCCGATGACCTGCCAGAAGCATTGGTCATGGCCCCCTCAGAGGTTTTGACATTTTATTTCTCAAAGCCCATGGTTAAGTATACTAATTAAATAACATAAAACAAATGAAATGTGATTCTGTCTTCTCTTATTTCCGTAAGCAAAACACTAGATATGATCAAAACAAAGCTGAATTATGTTTTCCATCTGAAAATACCTTTCATTCCTGTTTTCATCCCACTGAGCCCTTGCTGAGTCACTGGACGGTCCGCAACTTTGATTTGAGAAGATAAAACCAGACCTGTACCTACGGATCCACCGCGTGTTCCTGGCCTTGAAGTGCCTGGAGGGATCTAACATGGGGGGGGGGGAATTACTGAAAAAAGCAACAACAATATAGCAGTTCCAAATAACAGAACATCATGCTGTTCCAAGTTGTAACCTAAGAAACAGCAGGCTGAGGCCTTACAGCCTGATTAAATTTATATAGAAATACAGAGGAGAGAAATTTTTAAAATACAACATGCCAACATATTTTTTAATATAAAAGCAGCTAAAATATAAAATATTCTAGATTCTGAAATACAAAAGCAAAAGGATAATTTTGCAAGGGAAAGCATGTAAATTAAAATAAGAGTGGATTTGATTTAAATCTCACTTTAAATCACTGGCAGGATGGATAAAAATCAAGGATCTTAATTTTAAAAAAATCAGATTTTAAAAATTTAAATCAATTTTTTAAATTTACATTTTCTTTTTTAAAATCATTCTTTTTTTATCCACCCTGCTAGTGATTTAAATTGTGATTTAAACTGTGAAATCTACCCTTGTTGAAATGATAGGAAAGTTATTAGTAGTTGCTTGTAACAAATAAATAATGGGTAAAGACAGGGTTAAATGCCTTCTTCTTCCACTACAAATTGGTCTCTCCCAAAGCTCCCCTACATCAGATACTTGTCAAAGGTCAGATTAAATGAACTAATCAAGATAAGCATTTATTGGGTTGAATTTGGAGGTCATCCTGGGTACACAGAAGGCACTTTTGCTCACATACATGGAGTTAATGGCAATTTGGAACATATGCCATTTTTTTCTTTTTAAAGGTCTTCCAGTGCACAGGAATTATTTTAGGGAAGCAAAAATGATTGTGGAATGAAAGGGAGGCCCTGTTTAATAAATGGAGCAGATGTTACAATCCACACCATTGCCATCACTAATAGTATCAGAAGAAGGTATGAAGAAAGGGAACCTTAGAGCACAGGGGAAAAGAAGATACAGAAGAAGATTGAATGTCAAATGCCTAAGTGAACAGATTGGATTTTAGTAACTAACGTGAGATTGTGAACTTTCTGAAGTGGGCAACTCTTTTTTTAACATCAAAGGATATAACTGATAGTCAAGAAATATTAACAGAGAAATCTGCATTGAAGGTCTAACTTTTGAAAGTTTTTAAAAATTTTAATAAAGTGAAAATTGCAAAGATTATACAGCACAGATGTTAAAAATTATTACTCATCCATGTAACTTGTCAGACTGAGTATGTAGGGTTTTGAATAGATTATTGTTAACTTACTCCACCACCAAGTAAGGCTGCAGATGGCGGCCGTAATGAGGAAGATGGTGGTCTGGCACCCAACCCCATTCCTGCTCTTGAAGAAGGACGTGCTGTAGGTGGTTTGTGATTACTCGCCATTTTTTTTTCTTTTCTTCAAGTTTTCTGTAGAAACAAGCATAAATTATACACTAGAGTTCTCTGTAACTCTTTTGTATTTAATGTCACACTCCTCCCCAGTAATCGTTGTTTATCTTCTCCTCTCACCAAAAATTTTGATCTCTTAAAATCACAAAACACACATGATTAAAAACCAACAATAGCTTAGCTATTCATTTCATTACCTCATCAGAGCACAGATGTTCTTCTAACATAGACTTTTTCAGTATTTGTCGTTAAGTGTTGAAATCAGTAACCAAGTTCACTGCAACAGATCTAGGGGACTGGTCTTTTTAATGTACCTACCAAGACCTTTATCTTCAGGCAACATATCTATATTGATGAGCTTGTCTCAATGCCAGTTCTCTGTTTCAGGGTTTAGTTCTAACTAGCCAAGACAACTGAGGACTGACTGAGCTGACACTAAGCCACTGAGGCTATACTAAATCTACCACCTCCACCATGGAAATTACTTAGTGCTACCTTGACACTGGCTCGAGTATATATAGGTACAATGATTGTGATTATTAGCCAAGGGGGGTTGATGTGCTGTAATTCAACTCCTGAACCAGTCCTTCCCTTGTGTGTCTTTTTTGTTTCTTTGTTCTTCTCCCAACTTATCTCAGCCAGCACAAGAATTGAGCCAACAGATCTGTCACCAGCCAGCACAAGGGGTTTGTGTGGGCACAAGAGCAATTACTATTTCCAAGCCCACTGCAGCCAGCATATAATAATAATATAATTTATTGTCATTGTAAGTAGATACACAGTATACCCATACAACGAAATTCACATATCTTTGAGTTTGGATTGCATTGCCAGTCTGTCACTGATAGCATATATTATTACTCCTGCAATTATACAGGTATTTGGTCTTTAACTATTAAAAGTACCCATACAATCCCCAAGTAACTGCAAAATTGTAGATAATGACATATCAAAGTTCATGTTTCACTTTAGCACTTCCACATCAGTAATGATGCACTATCTGGGAAGTAGGGTGGTTATTATAGGGATTATGCTGCAGTGTTCACATGTAATGGGAATTAAGGTATGAAAAGGATTTACCAGGTTTCCCTTTAGGGAGCTGATTTATGGTCCAAAATCTTTGTTTGACATAACAGCATCAATCAGAATAGCTTGTTTTAAATTGAAGATCCCCCCCCTCTTTCGGCAGAAGAAATATAGAAAAATATAATATTCCAGTATCAAACTTCAGAACAAAGGCTTCTCAGAAACAACTCTATTGCGTAGAAATGCAATGCATTTCACAATTTTATTATATGAAATCTCTAGTAAATGCTGCAAAGAAATTATAACCCATTACACACACACATACCGAGCACTGTGCAAGGAGTTGTAACTTCTGAAAAGGTTTGGACAGCTTGTTCTATACCAGTGGTTCCTGACCTTGGGTCCCCAGATGTTCTTGGACTAAAACTCCCAGAAGCCTTCACTTGTGGCTTCACAGCCAGGATTTTTAAAACTGTAGTCCAAGAACATCTGGGGACAAAAAACACTGTTCTATAGCATTAGATTACAGGCCAATTTCATTGTTAAATAATCTCTTACTTGAAAGAAAAACTCCCTGAAAGCAGGCAACTTGTCTAAGAACAAGAGTTACTTTTGCCCATATATGTTATAGTTTCTACAGAGGTCTCTTTGTTGACCAGTTGCAGCACAAACCACAGAGTTGTGCGGCACCTTAAACAGCAAACACATTCATTGTAGTAGCACAACCTTTTGTGGACTGCAGCATTGATCACACATGTACCGGGAAAGGAAAGACGTACAGTAGTTCTGGTACATAATCTGAAAACTAGGGCGGGCGCTAACTTTATTAGACGCCCTAAAAACTTTGCAATGCCCACCGTGACGAAGAGTCCTCCAGGACTCGGAAGCCAGCCTGTTTATGAGATATTAGGTATCTAATAAAGTGGGATAGTGTTCACAAAAGTTCATTATCTGGATGTTGGGGGGGGGCGGCTCAGATACAGAGAACAGGCTGGGGGGGAAACCTAAGGGCGGAGCTTGGCTCTTGCAGTAAAAACCAAAGCTGTTTCCAGTTGCATACAGAGAGCCGGGAACCCGACGTGCCAAACCCTCTCAGAGGCCCTTTCCTGACCTAGCCTGGTCCTCTTACCTGCCTCCCTCTTTATTCCCGTCTCTCCAGCCCAGGGAGGGGGGCGGTTGATTCACCGAATGCCTTCCAAGGGCCTCGTCTCTCCGCGCGGCCAACGGTATCCTAGCAACCCGGGCAACCCACCGGCCAACTGGCGGCGCTGTTCCGCCTGCCTCACCCTCGTACAGCCTCTCTGGAATCTCTCCGAACTCCTCCTCCTCTCGCCTTTCATCGCGAGACTTTACGGCTGGTCTCGGGACATTTCATAATACTGTACAGTAATTCGTGGGAGCAGCTCGCAGTCAATGAGGGGTTAAGGTCCAGCTTTCCCTTTAATGCTTTTTTGGCCATTTAGGAAGCAATGATGTTGTGTCTGGTTTGCACACCTTTATTAACCAATAAAAGTATTATTATGGATATTGGAATTTGCTCTGGGCCCCTTCACAGTTATCATCATTGTTATTCCACATTTCTCCTAACAAGGGACCCAAAGCGGCTCACATTCAAATTCACACAATTACAAACACAATAAGTTAAATATTAAAAGATTAATTAAACAACATATGATTTAAAATACAATTAAAAGATTAAAACAGAAAGACATGAAAAAGATTAACATTATCTGTTAGAATGGGGTTCAGTTATCCTGATGGCATTAACTCCCCCAACAATACAGCGTGAAGCGGATGGGGAAAGTGCCAGTCTTGCAGCCGTTGGCGACCCACTTTTTCCATTATTATTCCTCATTAACTGGTCAGACTCGTAAGCGGCCCCATCTGGCTGCAACAAGCGCGACGGTTCTCCTGAATCAACGTTAATAGGCAATTTTACAACTACAGTAACAGGATGTAGAGCTGGGAGGAGTGTCTCTTTAAGGAGGCCTGCCGCTGCTCGTTGCCCTCGTGCATTCTGGGAAATGTAGTGTTTCCTTTGCTCCAGGCGGGGTTGGCAGATGGCTGCGCCTCTTCCGGCGCTTAATGATGTCGATTCCGTTGGGGAGGGGGAGAAAAGGAAGGGGACCGGGGCGGGGGTTGTTCCCACTGCTGTGTCAGGGTGCGGGAGAGGCGGAGTGATGGCCGGCGCGGCGAGCACTTACCGGCTCCGCTGCTCCTTGGCGGGGCATGAGCTGGACGTGCGGGGACTGAGCGGCTGCCTTTTCCCGACCGGGTCGTTCGTGTCGGTCTCCCGGGACCGGACTGCGCGGCTCTGGGGGCCGGACAGGTGGGTCGTCGCTAAAAGCGGGAGGGAGCCACCGAGTGCTGCGGAGGGGACGGGAAGTATATACAGTCTATTATTTCCACTTGCAGACAGACGAGAGAGATGGGGAGCCCTCTCTGTTGCCTTGATTTACGGCAGGACAGGGAGGTCGGAAGGTGACCAGTTGATTTCAGTGCCATTAGGGATGACTTGACTTTTTCCTCCTTCTGAACTGAAAATCTGTTAAAGTTATCATCTTAGTTATTTCGTTAATCTCAAACCTCAAGTCATACCGTCTTTGTTTAGATTTTTTTCCCATCTTGAAGCTTTTACTATTTATTGTAATAAGTCTTTATTGTTGTTGTGTTGCTGCTGTTGCTGCTGTTGCTGTTGCATTATTGTATTATGACTTTGTAAGCCGCCTAGAGTGGTCATATCGACCAGATAGGTGGGATATAAATAGAATAAAATAAATAAATAAATAAATAGATTGGGCAGGGGTGGGTAACATTTGGGTTTTCAGACGTTTCTCAGATCAGCTCCCTCCGGCACGGCAAAGAGTAAGGGATTATGGAAGATTGTCTTCGGACAAATGGTAGCTCTATGGGTTGGAAATGGAGATGAGTACCACCCCCTAGAGTCAGACACAACTGGACAAATTGTCAAGGGGAACCTTTACCTTAAGTCAGCAGAGCAGATAAACTGAAGTGTGTAGCCTCATGTCAGAACATAATCAGTTGGATCAATGACAAATCTCATTGACTAAAGAGCCTTTTAGCAAACGTAACACTCATTCATGTTCAGTGTATTATTTATTGGTCACTTGTGATTTGTATAGCTGGTCAGAATACCAACCATGAATCATACACAGTATAAGTGTTCTATATTTTTCATTCTCAGATATTACTTTCACACTTCTTCCCTGAGAACCAATGTGGTATAGTAGAAAGAGTGGTGGCCTAGAACTCAGGAGACCTGGATTCAGATCCTTGCTCAGTCATAGAAATTCACTGGAAGGTGTGGCACTCCTTAAATATCTCGCATACCTTGGAAATCCTATTAGAGTTGCTATAAATCAATTGTGACTTGATGCCACATAACACCATATTCCCTAAACTAATTGTTTAAAAATTATTATTTGTTTTACTCCTAAAAGTTTTGCCCAGAATCCTCCTGGTGCATCTCCACTTGTGAAATCTGATGACATCATTAGCCTTACACACGTAGAGCTGTGCCAACAGGATTCCAATCAAAAAGTAATTATTTCAAGAAGAAACATTTTGTAGTTCTAGCTGCTTTATTTTTAATACCTCTCATGATTGCAGTTAAGATATGAATATTACAAATTCTATAATGACATGCTTGAGTTGTTCGTTCAATTATTATTTTTTCTTGAGAACTCAGTTTCTTTTTAAAATGTAGGATGAACTTAGGTACAAGATTGGTTTCATTTTATTAAATGGAGAGGACTCCTTCATTGTAGAAATGTAGACTCACTGGTATCTGTTATGTCTTTAGTCCCAACAGAGGGTTTACTGAAATTCACTGCATGAGTGGCCACTCCAACTTTGTTTCTTGTGTGTGTGTCATCCCTCCAAGTGATCTCTATCCCCGTGGATTAATTGCTACTGGTGGCAATGACAACAACATTTGCATCTTCACTTTAGACAACTCTGCACCACTGTATGTCCTTAAAGGTCATAAAGACACAGGTAAGCAAATGGTCAAAAATAGTTGCTACAGTTGTTGGCCTTAGCTGAGTGTCTGTTGTAGAGTCTTTAACATTTTACTACTGTAATTAAGTCAAGGTTGCATGTACATTTTAATCAAATATCATTCCATTATACAACAAAAAGCTGGAATGTATAGACTGATATTTTGTATTTTTATTTATTTATATTTTTTTGTTTATTTATTTTATATCCCGCCTATCCGGTCGGTTAAGACCACTCTAGGCGGCTAGACTATGACTAATCATGAACATGTTAACTATACCATGTTTTCCTCTACTGAGTAGTAATTGTGATTGTGAAACCTAGCCTTCATGAGGTATCCAAGAGAGACAGAAGATGTTTTGTGGGAGGAAAAATGAGTGTGGTTGGAGAACTAGTAATGTAACACAAAGCATCTTTGCTAGCATTATTACTGAAGATTCAGAGTAAAGCCTGATGATACTTGTTTCATGTTTTTTTTTCCTAGTTTGTAGCCTTTCCTCTGGAAAGTTTGGAACATTGCTTAGTGGCTCATGGGATACAACAGCCAAAGTTTGGTTGAATGACAAATGCATGATGACATTAGAGGTATGCAAGCTCTTCTTCTCGCAAAAGTTTGTTATCAATATATAAGGAATAGTTCTTTCAACTTCAGAAAACGTAGACAGTCTCTGAGAGCATTAATGTCCTGCCTTTAAAAAAAATACAGGGCCACAATGCTGCTGTCTGGGCAGTGAAGATTTTACCAGAACAAGGATTAATGCTGACTGGTTCGGCTGATAAAACCATTAAACTATGGAAAGCAGGTAGATGTGAGAGAACATTTACTGGTAAGTATTTGACCTGGAACTTTTTATAATATTTGAATGTTTGCAATTTTTAGAGAATTGAGAAGGACTAAACATCCCTCCAGGGTTTAAAAATGATAGGAGAGCTCTTCCTCTGTACCTTTTCACCTGGGCATGCCATAGACATTATTGACTGAAATCCTGTTGATTACCATAGTAAGGCACACTAGAGTGGGGCCATTGAATCAGTGGGGAATCTGGTAAATCTGCTCCTCCATAAGTTCCATTGATTCAAAGGGGCCTTCTCTAGCTTTCACTCAGTGAGAAAGAAAAGATAGGAGGGCTTCCACATTGTCTGGTACTACTTAAAATGAAGTGTGAAGGAATTTTGTTATAGTTAACAATAGAGGTCAGTACAGGTGTCCCTGGGCTTCATGTGTTGTGCAGCCATAGTTCTGCAGTTCTGTCTGAAATGTGTGTTCATGTGAGGATTCAGTAACATGGGATGAGTATATAAAAACTTGTGCCATAATTTTGTGAGTTTCTATGCCACAACAAGGGACTCCTTGTATTATCATTTTGTCTTCTTTACAAAAAGATTTTTGTTGAAATTGAATTAAGGAATGTCAACTGATGTCTAATGATTTCTGAAGATGGCTAGCCTCCCCTATGCATTTCTAAGCTATAGAAAGATGCTTAATGCATGAAGTTGCTGCCGTATCCGTAACTATGCTTTTGTTTGCTGTGGCACTTCTCCAAATTATATCTTATGCTGGGAGCCCATCCTACAGACTAGAGTATCACAGCAGTAAGGAAGAAGCTGTCAAAAGATGATGCTTCTTTGTAGTGGACAGTTATAGGTACCAGAGTTTTTTTTACATAGTTCAGTATACACAGCAATATTTGAAGCATCTTTTCATCAGTGTTTTTCTAGTATTTTCTCATATTTCACTATGAGTCTGGCCAGACATGTTCAGTGTCTGTTGTGACACCTGTTAATCACTAATTATGCAAATTATCATACAAAAGGCACCCAACTAAATGGTGCTAGCCACTCTGTGTCTGTTGTATGATGATTTGCACAATCAGTGAATGACAGATGGCACAACAGACACCCCCCCCAGCAAATAGTACAAATCACTTGAGTAAACAGCATTGAGCAAGCATAGATAGTTCAATAGGGTTCCAGTTTGTTTGTTTTGAAAGGAAAACATTTGGGAGTCTTCCAGATAATTTTGTGGAAGAGAGAGAAGTGAAACTTACTATGT